TTTGCATATCAATAAGAGAACGAATAAAGAGAAATCGTGTTTTAAAAGTAGCAAATTAATTCATGTAATGAGTTTATTTAAAAATCAATCAACAAAAGTCTTTCTAACAGATAAGAATTTAAAATGTCGCAGATTTTTGCAAGATTCCTAAACGGATACAGAATTTATGGACTTTGTCATGTACATATTACATTGACATAAAAGCAAAGAATGTTAACAAAAATTAAGAATATCGTCTAATAAATAATCTTGTATCTTGTAATTTGTAATCTTGTAATTTATCTTGTAAATTTGCGGAGCAAATTAAAAAATAATAACATTTTTCACGCAAAATCATGCGTCATCATCGCTTGACCATTTCTACCGTTTCAAATATTTGAGGGAATATTGGTGGACAAATATTTATCAACAAATATTGACCAAGTCCACATTAATCGCAACAAGAACGCGCCGTAATATTGTTTCACTGAAGGTTACACTTGCCATTTGTAATGTGTAAACGTTTAATCCAGGCTTAAAATTTCTCTTTAAAAGGATCTCTCTATTCTCTAAAAGGAAGAGATAATAGATAGAAAGTATTAAACCACGTGTGTTTTTTCGAATTTGCAAATTTTTAACTGATTGCCTGTATTGATCATTAATTCATGCACGCAACTGTCCTACCTCTTATCCGTTAATTCCTCAAATTTCGCAAATTAATTAACGGAGCCCTAGGAAATTTAAGCCATAATTTCCTTCTCTCTAATAAACGTCATTAATTTTCCACTAAGAGGAAGTCATGAAAATGATTTGATAGCGCTACTCAATCCTTACTAAGTACAGAGATACTTATTTTCAAAAGTTATAAGTATAGTAAACAAGTCACACGAGTAAAAATACGCAAATAAATAAATTCTATCTTTTTCTCTCTTTTTTATTTTTTTTTGTTATTCATTTCTGAAATTATTTCTTTTCCATATATTATTCCTTCTTTACTTCTTTACTTAAATTTTATTTCTAGATATTCTATATTTTACTTCACCCTTTCTTGCTTTCTTCGAAATTCTTTCATTTTCCATTTTTTTTTTTATTTCGCTGTTTATTTTTATCTATAAATTCCTTATATTTTGTTCTCTCTTCTACCCGCATTTTGCTTTTTACTTTTCTCTTCTATGTTTTTGCCGTTCTTTGTTGCCTTCTTTTTAAATTATTTTTTTTTCTTTTTTTCCACTTTATTTATTCCATTATTAATGCCCTTGAGAAAGAACACGACGTAGGCGTATTACTGAAAGAGTCAGTACTGAGGGAATTTGTGCTGATAATAATTTTTATCTTGGAAATTTTACAGGACGACACGAAACGTCATTAGTACGTCTAGTTGGTCGAATTTCAATTAATATCATAGAAAACGAGAAAAAGCAGCTTTTGCTTTAATTAGACTGCAACTGCTCCGGAAATAATCTTAAGAATTTTCCATCAAAATTTCTCACGAAAGTAGCACTCAAAAACACTTGGAGATTTAAAACAACAAGAAATACTAAGAAATATTAAGAAAAGCGGCTTCTTTTCGCCCAATTAGATTTAGTTGTACATATAAAAAAATTGATACAAAAAATTACATCTTCTAAATACATAAATAATATTGATAAACAGCAAAATAAAAATTATATTTCCTCAGAAATGACGGTAAAACAGATTATACAGAAGAAAAATCGTGTTTTAATTTAATTCATAATTAAATTGCATTTCTTCAATAGTCGATGATATAAATAATCGCTTGGATCGATAAACTCGATAAATCCGTTGCTGGCGCCGCGATATGATAATGCATTTATGCATTTCGAGATGTAGCCATGCATCGGCGTCCAATCCAGTGTGAATTGACATTCAATATCTCTATAAAATTGCAGAACACAAGCGCGCGCGGTTTGTTCTGGATTCTCTCCTTCTGCCGACTGTTATGTATCGGTTGTATATTAAAGTCTTCTCTTTACAGCCGCGACAAATTACTCAGAATTAACCCTTTGTTTTCATAATAATTTCACCCTCGTACCAAATAGCTGTCACTAATTATTTAATCGAAACAATGCTATTATAGGAGATTATATTGTAGCAGTTTTATTATTATGTATATATCTAATCATTAACACAAGTAACATAATTTTACCTACTTTATTACAATCAATAGATTTAGATCTTTACACGAAGAACTTGTGTAATTTATTCAACAAATTTTACAAAGATAAAAATAAATAAATAAATAAATATTAAAAATTTAATAAAATTAAACAAATAATAAAATATTTCTTTAAATCCTTGAGCGTTGAATTAAAAAAATTTAATGTGGAGATATTTTAATACTAATCCGAGAGACTTTCAGAATATAAAAATAATTGTACAATAGTTTTATGTATTGAAGAAATATCTTTGAATAAGTTAACAAAAATCTCTTTCAGATTTCAATCTGATTTAATTTTTAAAAATGTTGCACTATGCGAATACGTTTATTACTCAATACTGTATACTTGAATGATGTATAGAATCTCAGCAGAAGATCGAAATGCATTTTTATCGATGTTTTACGTCGCTTCTCATCGCGCGTGTTCTAATCTTTCATATATCGTACGTGTCATTTTTGAATTTGAAATACCACGATAGTAAGATGTCAAATTCAGCGAAAATCAGATGGTATCAGTTGTGCGTTCACATGAAATTGTATCACGTGGACGGACGGATAAAGCTCTTAAAGTTCACACCCAAGAAGAAAACAAACACGCGCGCTTGTGGGCTAGCGCTTTAATTAAAATCGATATTTCCAGAGCATTCGTTCGTCTCGCACCATCTCCCCTGCGATTTGTTCTCACGTTTTATGTGACTCTTTACGACCTGAATTATACGTCCCTAAATTCGCGAATCAACAGGGAAAAAACTCTCGGAATAATGAAACACTTTGTGATTTTGTCTGTTAAACAATATTTGAAGAACAATAGATTTTAAAGTATTTTAATTTTTCAAAACACTCCTCAACTTAGTATTTTAATTCATGTAACCATTTGTGATGTAATTATTTTAATTAGTTTTGTGTTTTTAGTTTCTTTATTTAAAATAACTTAATGAAAAACCTAATTTAGAAAACAATCATAATTCAATTAAATTATTTATAATTGAGACAATTATAGTTATAAATTGTAATGAAAATTATTAATTAAAAAATTTACATTGTTTAAAAAATAAAGAAAATAATATTTTAATTTTAAAACTAAAATTTTTTACTTAAAGAGATCTCATTTGCGAGATTGACAGAAATAAATTGTCTAAGAGATCAGTACGTCTCTTAAAAGAAAAGAACTTTAGATCACCCTCATCCTAAATCGGATGAACCAAACTGTGAAGTCAAAGCCGGAAGGGTTTTACTGGTTGGAACTAAAGTCAAATTAAAACTACCGTTGCCTCGTCAAGAGATTGGTTGTCGCTGCCGGCTCTAGTTCTCTATTTCCAGTGTGTTTCACTGTGTTTAACTTGCAGAGAACGAAGAAAAGGCTTTTATAATTCACGAATGTCCGAGTGTAACTCACCCTTCCTTTCAGATTCAGTCATACTATTTTCAGACATCCATCACGACCAAACGAGAAAAATGCTTGGAAGTTCTAAAATAATTTTTTTTTAAATCAAAGAGCAATAGTAAAAAGTGTTCGAATAAATGACTCGCTATAAAATGCAAGTTTGATTCTTGTAACAATTATGACTGTAAAAAAATTAATATGTATATTTAGAATTGTTCCTTTAGATTTGATAAATTTCACATTGTGTGAAGAAAAGAGAGTTTCATTATATTCTTACTTCTCAAGTAATTTGTATGTATTTGCGTATTATACTGTGTGTAAAATATTGCGTCGTTTAGAAAACTTTAATTAACCTCAGCTTTATCACTCGTTCCGACCAAATCTGGATTAAAACTCGTTTTGCGGATTCTCCCTCGAGTGCAATATTACATATTGATAAACTTCGATGAGATAGGTTCGGGAGATGGTCTGTACCGAACAGGCTTAATCCGTCACCTAAGCTCAGAATCGATATCGGCGATATACTTGAAAAATTCAGTCGCAAAATTCTGCCTGTGAAATCGAATTGTGCAATTCCACTCGTGCGTAAATCTGTATTTTTGAGAAACACGAGAAAATAAGCTCAATAATCTCGCACGTTTATAAACGCAATTTTTCTCGCAAAAAAAATTTCGATAAAATATAAGAAAAAATGTATTTGCATGCTACAATTGTTATTTATTTAAGAATTTTATTCAATTTACATAGATTAACGTCGAGATACGTGCTCCTCCGCGCAGAACGGGAGTTCTCCGCTCTCTGCTTACTACAGTGCTGGCAAACATGGAATAAGCAAGAATAAACTTTTTCACGGTGACAATAACTAGAATTCTTGCAAATGGAAAAAAAAAGTTTAAATTTTTCTGTATCTTTTGTTTGTTACAAATCGTTGCAGGCAGAATTCTGTGATCGAATATTCATGTATGATAATACGATTATTCGCGCATATAATAATGCACTAGAAATCCAATCCAATTAAATATTGATCCAAGATATTTTTACGTATCTTCGATACATATGGCGGAACTTATTGGAACACCGTATGATAATACGGCTACGCAAACATTGTTTCTACATGGACGTTCCGCATACATTCCAATTTGAAAGAAAACGCGATCACGCAGTAGAAACACGAAAACTCACCGATGTAGTGAGCTCGTAGCAAATGGATTCCTAACATTGTTTTCCACGAAACAATCAAGAATGTGTGGTTTAGAGAAAAGGAAAAATATGAGTTGCTTATTTGATAAACATCTTCTCGCAATTTAGTAGGTTTCGACGTATTCTTTCCGTGTAGCACATTTCTCGTATTAGCCAAATTAATTAACCGTTATGAAGTCGCATCTTAGAACAGACACAAGCTAAAACAAGTGTCTCCGCTAATTTTGGTTATACATGAAAGTGACACATAGTACTCACGGGTGTTGTCGTAAAGTATTCCGTTGAATTCATTGAAGCAGGGTATCGTGGCCAAGGTGTTGGGAGACGTTTCCGGCCAGCACAGTATTTTGTCCCAGTTCACTTCGCATTCCTGCTGCTCCTGCGATTTGTTTTGGTTCAGATGAAATTCCAAGCACTTTATGTGCTCGGTGTTGTACGAGTCGTTCAGATCGTTAATATAGTTCAGAATGTTTAACACGTAATTATCGCCGACAAGCGGCTTTGAGTCATTCTCAAAGAACGGGGTCATGTTTGGTGTCTGTTACCCCTCTTATCATCGGATCAACACACTGTCGCGCTGCTTCCCGCACGGAGACTTCTCGACTCAGGTAGGCGAATGAATCTGGAACAAAAAAGAAGATGGAGTTCTTTTAAATCCTTCCACGTTTTAAAATACGTTTATAATGGTAATCTAACTTGATTGATTAAAAAATAATAGTTCGTGAAATATCATTTCCTGAATATTCTTGAATCTAGACTATATTGAATGTGAATCGTGAATTTTTAAGTTCAGATTAATTCCAACTGAAAACGGAATTTCTGGTTTTCTTAGTACAAGTTTTCTTAGTATATAATTAATTGAGAATCCAGAGAAGCTGTATTCAATTCGCTTGCAGTTACTTTATTTTCAATTATATTTTTATAAGGTTTATTTGTATTATATCATAGTAAATTTTACAATATACATATAATAATAAAAGATCAGTTTTCTTATATGAATATTTTATATATTCTACTCTTGTCAGACTGCCTTTTTTCACAGTATTCGCAGTGGTAAAAAATTATATCGCAAATATTTTATGAATTTCGGTTAGAAATCGATACATCCTTAATGTCGAGACCAACGAGGGGTTACTCTATTATGGACGCAAGAGATTGTATTAAGCTGCGGACGTCTTTTCCCACTTTATAAAAAAATAAGTCCGTGAATTGTTAGGAACATCCGAAATCCATCATATATGTACATGCTTGTTAAATATTCTATAACATTTTTGCAGCGCCTGGAACGAGATGTGCGTAAATCAGCAAACCTAACGAGATGTCTTAACAAATTTTTCTCTCGCGGAATTTACTCGAAGTTCATTATTGTTGGAATTATTCTCTGCGTCGTAATTGATGAACGACGACGAGACTTCACTGGGAGTTACATAATTATACGAAATAAACTGTATAATAATTCCATTCTTTGATATTTGCTGTCGGTAATATTGACGCAAACTTTTATTATCTTGAATAATTTGATAACTCGTCTGATTTTTATTTTACTTTCGGCTTAATTAATACGTTATTTTTATGAAGATTTTAATATTACGTTATCCCAAATTATCACCCGGCGAATCTGATTCCTAACGTTGATTTACTGAAAGACACGTTAATCCCCGAGGCATTTATGCGCCAACGCGTGCTTAATTTCTGGAAGAAGAACCAAAAGCGTTCTCTTCTTTCTGACATGTAATTATCCCTTCCACATTTATAAAGTATAAACCTGTTGAAAAGGACCCTTTTCTTCATTCATTAATTTATTCACTGCCAATAATGCTTAACCGCGCTAAAATTGGCTCTTATAAAATTAAATAACAGAAAATTCTTTTTAACTTCCCGAAATATCTGGAAACTTTAAAAATAGCTCATGCGAAAAGTAGTAGTTACAACATCGTACTAGATGCAAGTCACTCACGCGTTTTCTCACAACCATTTAATCTTACACGTGGACTATGTTAATCCTTCATATTCTCTATTTCTTTTTCTTACAAAAATACTCAACATGACGTAACGAGCATTATTAGATGAGGAAGACTTTGTAGAGTAAATAATCTCAAACAGGAAATCTTTTCCTAACCACAACTTTTACAAGGTAATTAAATATTAAATTTTATTTGTTATTATCGTTATTTATTGCTTAATTTGTTTCAATGCAAGCTTTGCGAAGTCACATACTTTACCCATTTCCCATTTATAAATATTTCATATTCATACGTTATAAAATAATTTTCAATAAAATTAATGCCTCTGAAATCAATGCGACAATCCGTTGTTGAAAGAACATCTCAACCTCTTCGGATACTTTTCTCACTAGAAGTTAAACTTCAGCGCTTCCAAATCTTAATCTTTCAGATGAAGTGTCTGTGTTAAAGTACAAGACGACCGTATCCGATGAACTCACCATCAAACGCTCGTGAACATCCATCACAGAACTCTTGATCCACGAAGGTGCCACTTCGCAACTGTTAGACCGAGCCCTTAGATACTCGAAATCAATAATATCAACCGTCCGTCAATGGTATTAGTCACTCCTATAGACGCAACTCGCTGAGGTGGATGCTACGGCGATGCATTCTCCCATTATTCGGAAAGTACCTCTCACGATACTCCACAGGATGCTGATCCTACAGGTATAGGGCAAAGGTAGCACCTATGATGATCAAACACTCCGAGTTGATTACTTACTTCTCACTTGATGTGATTACTTTATACACATTACGAATCGTGACGCGTGTAGGAAACAAATGTTTAAAAAATTATATATAAATCAATAATAAAACTATAAAATAATTGATAATATACTTTTATAAAGCGAACATATACGATATATCAAATTCTTCACGGATGATGCCATTGCAATCGCAATCACGATGTGTTAAAGATTTAAAAAGGTGCTCTGATATAAAATATACAAAGCACACATATTGCGTGTACGTAGACTAAATAACGAAACCAATGAATCGATATTGCAAAAAGTTTGTAAAAACTCGAGTTTTAATTCGTGGAAGCTCGATTCTCTGTCGGCGAAGCCTGAAGGGAATTTCGCTTACTGAACAGAATCGGTATCGGTTCGCAGTTTCACTTTTTCTCTTTTATTCATGGCACTCTTGTCATTTGACCTTTTTTCCCTCAGCAAGCTGCACAAAACGCGGACATACCATTCACCTTAACTGTTGCAGATGTCCTTTTTGATAGAATCGAACTGATATCCTCAAACGAGCACAATCGATCAGGATTTCAACTACGAAGTCACGTCAAAAACCGCGAAAGGATATGGCGTTCAATTAAATGATTGAACAATGTTATTCAAAGTTGAAAAACAAAGATGAAGTTGGTTCACTTTTCACTTTTTACGTTTTACAAAAACATAGCTTCATGTCAACTAATTTGAAACTCATTCAAATGATTGCTATCTTGAAAAATATGAGTTGCATGAGGCGACGATTTAATAAACGAGAAGATGAAAACTTGAAATGAAAAGATCGTTCTTATCATAGGAACTTATTTGTTGTGAATTTCGTGATGAGTTGCGACAGAGTTTGAAAGCACCGAAAAAGTTCCTTTTTGGATCGACAATTTCTAAATTTGCACATACAATATATTTTCGATTTAACTTCAATATTATAATATCCACATTGACAGAGAAGATGACGCAAACTTTACCTTTTTAGACAAACTCTAAAAGAATCCAAAATATCACATGACTACGCGTTTTGAGATAAAATATAAAAAAAAATACAATAATATGAAATTAATTAATCGCGATTGTAATTATGTAATTTTCTATAAATTTTGTGTCTTTTACATTTTGATTTTGCTATTCTTTTTCTACTTTACAATTTTTTAAAGTTTAGTTGAGAGATACATTCTGATTTAAAAAAAAAATGAGCAGAAATAATCCACTTTATTGGCGATTGCTTTTTCTTATCAAAAGATTATTTTTTTCTCCTTAGCAAAGTTACGCATTCCTCCCTAATCCTCGAAATGATATATCCAACCTCTCAGCTTCTTAATCTCTGCGAGAGACGCATTACTTCGTACTCTTGAAATGAGTTCCGGATTGCTAATTTAAAAGCGATCACTGCGCGGCGTAAGCGGCGAAGGATTTATCGGCGATTTAACCCTTCCAACGGTGCTTTCAAAGCTTTATAAGTGCAAAGGAGTGAATTTATTGTGCAAGAAAGAAGAAAAAAAATAGAGAAGAGAAAAAAATTAATTCAAAGAAATAAACCAAAATTAGATACTTTTCTTCTAATTTTAGAGTTGTCAGTTAAAATTAGCTTGTCTTTATCAAATTTTATGAAGATTCCAAAAATACGATTTTTTAATTACTGCTGCAAGTATTTGAAAAGTTGATCTTTTATGAGATACGTGTAAAACGTAGCTGCTAATAATACACACAACAACAACGCAATATTTAACGCAAACTATATATTTTATCAAATTGGCTGTCACGAAAACAAATTGGCAACATCAATATAAAGTATTGTAATTGCATTTTTAATAAATGTTTAACTAAAATATTTTATATCACTTTATTGCTAAAATCGATCAGATCGCACAATGCAGATTGTAAAGCGTCATTTTAAAAACAATAAAATTTTATGCCCATCTTTTATTTCGTATAGATTTCTCGCAATCTATGCGTGAATCGAAAAACTATTGAATAAACAAATCTTTTTCAAGTTACAATAATTACAATACTTTCTATCGATGCAATCAAAACGTTTCCAATATCCTACCGTCGTGTTTGCCGTTTCAATCCTTTCTGTGAACGATTTGTACGCAGCGTTGATCGCGGTGAAATATAGCCGCGCCAATAAATCGTGCGGGAACGTCGCAATTAAACAGCACTGTGTCAACTAAACTTTATGTTGTACACTTGACCATTCGCAATGGCAATTGCTTTCATCGGCGATCATCGATAATCGTTTCAGTCCTTTTGTGCGAAACGACGAAACGCTAAATGTAGCTACAACACAATACGATTGCACGACAATGCTGCGATATAGTTTCATGCGAATTTTACTCTATGTCAAAGAGTTCATCGTTTGCGGGAGAGAACAAGTGCTTTTAATGTACTGTCTATCGGCTAGCGATGACACGCGCGACTGCCAGCCGGCCAGCACATGTGCTCCAGGACGAAAATCACCACCGACCGCCTCGGCGGCTCTGCGCGATTACGCCGACGCCGACGACGCCGACGTCTGTTTTGCGGCAGCCGCGTCCGCGCAGTATTGCCAGATTAGTTAGCACAAAAGTGAATTCTTACATTTTATGTACGAGGAGTGTCTCATTAAATGCGCTTCTTTAAGCTGCAGGTTCTTTGACGGATTTTGTAAGGATTTTTTTCTAAGTGTTGAAAATATTTATTTGTTTGCAACTTTCCAACTTTATATAATATTATAACAAAGTAATCAAATTGAAATCTTATCAAAGCAAAGTTTGCTTAGATTAAAAGAATAGAACTTTTATTTTTCCACAATTTATTTTTCAATTTAACTTGCAAAAAATTCTCCGCTTTTAATTGTACCTTACAAGTTCTGGGTTTTTTGATATTTTTGTAAAGAAAATATCAATATTTAAAAAAAAAAAAAATGGATTTAAAGTTGGTAAAAAAATACATAGTTTAACCAAAACACGTTTAATAAAGATTGTTATGCAGATTTGTATATTCTCGGTATATTCGTATAATTCATTTCATCATATTGTTTGTAAGGTATAAAGAATAAGGTACAAGCTTTTTTGACACTCATTAAAAAGTATTATACCATCCGACTTCGTATCATTAGTCGCGCTTGGCTTTAATCTGCATTGAAATAAGTTAAATATGTTTAACACAAATATATATATTAAAAATAAAAGTACATAATATCTTGTGTAAAAAACCGATTTTTGGCCTCTAATTTTTGATACCACTTGCAAAATATATTAATACAAATTAGAATTGCAAACATATTAGCAGAAATTGCGACGTTAATATAGTATTGTTCTGCGTTAATATAGATTTTCGGGCCCCGCCCCTAAAGCTGATAATGAAGACCAAACTAATACCACAGGAATAGTACGAGGAATAAACGAACATGCGCTACTGTTCGCACGATTCTCCGTCACTCATGCGAACTTCTCATTCTCACTCATTCATGCGAACATTTCTACTACTATGTAATTATTAACAAGCTTCTTAACGGAAAATCAGCTCTCGCTTGTTCGAGGAGCAACGAGGGAGATTTATAGACAAATAAACGCCAATGAAAACTTTAATGTTTAAGAGAAAGCTTTAAAAAAAGCGAAATAAATGCAACTGACTGACGAACAATAAACAATATAGATTAAAATGCTATTAGAAATTAAAGAAAGAAATTCTAAGAGAAGAAATAAATTTCAAACTCTTCATAATTCAAGTATTGGCTCGAACTATTAGCTATTTCGTCGATAAGATTTTTTTGTAAAACTTTATCGTCACAAATAACTCGCGAATAACGATAAATCACCTAGAAAATCTTATGCAAATTCAGTTACATATCCTGTCAATATTCGCATTACATTTTCTCGTCACGGCAAAAAGGTCAATTTCCTCTTCATCGCAAGAGGTATCTGTGGATCGATAAGAGACGTCCTCGTGTGATACCGCTGTCTGTCTGTACGTCTTTTTGTCTACCTGTCTGTCTGTCAATGTTCTCCATTTACGTCGATCGCTCGAGTGGTTGAGATCTCAAACCGAAATTGAAATCATAGACATCAACCGTGCATGATTTTTTAATTTCCTTGAATTAATTATATTGAAATATAAATATATGTGTGACGTCTAATGTAAAACGTTCAATATCAGGAAAAAAGACTTTATACGTCTTTTAGATATATACTTAAATAATAAATATACTTATATATAAAGTATATATCTTATATACTTTAAAGATTTTCTTCTTTAGAACTGAATTAACATCAATTTTAAAATAAAATCTTTTCTCTTTCCTTAAAGTTTCTTGTCCTAACCTAACCTAACCTGTTGCACTGAATGTTCTTCACTAAAAACACTTTAGCATTGATTTATTCGCGACAAATTATCGACGAGCAAAATACAGGCACAAAAGAAAATACACAATTTTCTGGCAAATTACATCAGCATTACTGCTTAACAATTGTTGAAAAAAAAAAATACGTACTTGTTTGCCGCACGGCGCGATCCGGACTGCGAAGAACAGCAAGTTTCAAACGGAAAATTGACTTCGTCGATTGGCCGGTAATTCGTGCACGCTCTGACACTCAATTAAGCGACCAGATCTCCCCAGCTTCGGGCGTTGTGCGCGAATATTCGCTAGGTATACAATAAATTAGTTTCGTCTTTTTCGCTAGGCACAGATTAATATCAATACTTTTTTTTTTTTTACGTGTTCTTGAAACACGAAGCTATCCTTTTAGTTTCATATTTTTATTTGTATTTTCTAATTGCTTTAATTATTTGAAGCTTTATTTTAATCACTTTATTGCCAAAATTTCATTTTTTTTCAAGTTATGTATTATTTCGGAAAAAAATATAGTTGCATTAAAAAATGTATTTGCAGATTACTGCACATGTTTTAAACATAGAATTATTAATATATTTTCTTTCACTATTGTATGTACGAAAAAATATTGAAGTAAAAAATTGAAAATACGAGATATTCATGCTTTATGCAAAAGTATATCGGAATAAAATATGATGTATCTCATTTTATTTAATTTTATCTTAACGTTTATTTTTATAGAATAATATAATTCTCTCCTACCGGTGGAGAATATTTTACTTTTCTATTTTTACTTCGATAACCGTAAAAGAGATTATGCATTCATAAAAGAGTTAATGCATTCAAATTGTTTCACTTACCCTGACAATGAGCGATAAAAATGTGTTTTGTTTTGCACTGGTTAAAAAACAAAAATTGAAACTGGCAGCTTATAAAACATAAGAGAACACGAAACTTTGAAGAGATCAAATTTGATAAGATCAAATTTTGGCTCTACAGTTACGCAAAAGTAATGCATATTTTCCGCGACAGTAAAAACGCGACAATTGTTGCAAAATTTATTTTTTTACATATACGATATGAAAAAATAAACTCATCGAAGTCATATCGGTTTCAGTCCCTACTAAGAAATCGCTAATTTAATGTCGTAATACGCATGCTATCTTGTAACGCACTGTTCATTACAGTACTATGTTCTGTTTACGAGCGAAATATTTTATCTCGGTCGCGCCAGAGTTATCTCAGTCAAATATTAACTATACCAATAAGAACCATCTCTCTTACGTGTGTCTAATATGTTTTCGCTGAGAATGCTCTTTTCAACAAGGTCAGTTCATAGATCGAACTCATTTGATAGTTAAATATCTTAAAAATATTTCTTATTTATAAATATAATTC